ATATACAAGAACAACAACAACAGAAAGTACATGCAGCAATATGGCATCTGTCAGTGTCGTCTGGGTGCCAGATATCAGAGCTGCATATAAAATGCATGCGTCGTCCACGTACAGCGCTTTTCGCGTGACCGTGTCTGCTATTTGCTTAACAAATGAAATTTTCGTGTAGTGCCCCGGAAAATGCTAGACCGCATGCGCCTCGCCCCTATCTGTATCGTAGCCGCGTTGGTGTCTGGGCCGGATAGCAATGTCAGTTGCCAAATGCAAGTGGGCTTATTTATTTGTTTAGGCCCAGCGGTGGCCATGATTTTGTGCCCAACTCTCGTTGCCCGCCGATGTTTTAACGGGAGGCGCGAGGCAGCCCAGCCAAACAAAAAAGGACGCGCCAACGGAAATGCGTTTGCAGTCAACTAGAAATGCAGGCACATTTCTCTGTGTGTGTGTGTGTGTGTGTGTGCGTGTGTGAGTACGATGGAGCGTGTGTTAGTGCTTTGTATATTTCATGGATATGCCCAAGCACGTTTGCCCTGGCAACAGCCCATATGGTTTATATTTACTGTTTTTGTTTGCAACAGCACAACGCTTTCATTTTTTGAGCATATTGGCAATCGAGTCAACCAACTCAAAGAAACGTGTTGCAATCTATGAGCACTGAATAGGAAAGCTGGCCATATCAGTTGCTTAATCCTTTTATTGCGTAGCTGCCTTTACCGACATTTAAACGTGCCTAACCTTACACACTTTAAAAACTTTTTAGCTGTCCTTTCATGTTTTTCTCTATGCGCCGTATCATGGTATATAAATAAGTACCCCTTAAAGGTTTGCTCCATACGAATTCCCCATATTAACTCATGTCATGCGTGTAAATAGAGCAATAGAGCTTCGGTGGGTTCACCATAAAATAATTGCACACTCACGGGTCTAATTTTAAAATGGAATATTTCATTTCAGGGACTCGGGTTGAGTACACAAGTATTATACTTCGTTTATATACATATATGCATGCAGACATATAAGCACATAAACTATGTAAATGTATTTATGATGACTGCATCAGAAATGTGAATCATCATCCCTAGAGTTTAAAAACGCGCAAATAAACACAGATGTGCAAGCGTACGAAACGGCAGGGGATTTAAAGCGTCAGCTCGAAACTTAACCGGCTCATTCCAATAAATTCGAAATATTGAATACTATTTTTGAGCACTTGTTGGATTTGGTTAGCAAGTTGAAAAGTAAACAGTTTAAAGGGTTGCTTGCAGCGAGTCACCTGAATTTCCTACTTTTCTCGCACTTAACTATACGGCTATTAAAATTTAATTACATCTGCTCTGCCACGCATGTGACGTGCAACATGCAAGGTGGATGCTGCCATACGTGCAACGTCGACAGCTGCTGTGGCTGCACTTAAAATCTTCGTTAATAATTCAGACAACAAATGACCGACTTACCACCATTCGCCATGCAGGGCGTACCAGCGCTAGCACATACAGCCACATTGTAGATTTTACCATCTTTGGCCAATTTGTGCGGCGCTAGGGTACTGAGCGGACTCAGGTCCAGACTGTGCAAAATAAAAACAGAACGAGATATATTCTCCGTAAACTACATGAAAAGGGGTTTACTCACAGCTCATTGCCCGTGGCCACGGCCGTGCACGGTTTGATATTCTTGCAGGCCAGTGGTGTGGAAAAACTAAACTGGTAGGTGCAACCATCTTGACTAGAACCCATGAACTCGGGATGTGCATTCTGCAAAAGGATAACATTGTAGCTCATACCAACAATATTATTTTCATGAACGTACCATAACTCTTCTGCCGCAGTAGAAATTAACAATGCTGGTATAGTTAACGCTAGAATTGCCTGCACACGGCGTCCAGGACTCGTGACGCAACAATGGCTGGCCATCTTTAATGACGGGCTTCGACTGTACATTGCCAAAGTTAATGAAACTGCAAGCATATGCAAAAAGATAAGTTAAATAAATATATAAAGCATTTAAATAAACATTCCGTACCGTTTTTTTAGATCGCTGACCTTGGGCGAATACAAGCAAATGCTGCTGCCGGCTGGGCACATGGCGTTCTCGCCATAAAGCACTGGCTTGCATACATTGATAATAAAGAAGCCTCCCTGTCGGTCTGAGGTTCTATAGTTGGCATCGCTAAGCGACATCAAATCGAATGTATCTCCAGTATTTGTGTAGCTCACACTACACGTATTGGACTGAAGCCCATCCGGTATAGATAAGCAGGCCAGGGGTGTCTCATAGGTAATGTAAAAGGAACAAGTGTCCTCAGCCTAAAAATAAACACCAAAATATTTAATCATTTCAAAAGTGGGCTTAAAGACGTATTAATTTACATAAGCCGTTATATGCAGTGGATTGACATCCAGCGTGTAGTCGCAACTGAGAAGCACATGCAGCTGATAGTTGGGATTGTCGTTGGTTCCATTTTCACATTTGGCACCACTCAAATAGTCGAGATACATTTTACCATTGTGATAGTGCAGCTCATGCTGGCGGCCTATAAGTACAGAAATGTTGAAGCACCAAGTGATTTTGCAATGGATCATATTACGCTTACCCAGCACATACTCCTTGCCTTGCTTTTTGAGGCAGGCAGCCACATTGCTCTCGTTGTTACAGCTGTGCGTCAGATTGCCGCATATGTTAAACTCAAAGGAATCATTGCTAAAGCTTCGCACCACATGCGCCAAATCCGAGTGTAAGCCGCTAAAATCAAACTTATAGCCATAGACGGGTTCCGTCAGCGTACAATCGCGTGTTGAAAAGTCCTGTAAACATACGAAATTAAATTAAAATATTACCGCCACTGTTGTTGGGCTGTTAACGTACTGTTAACTGTCGATAGGTGGTTGTGGTGCTTGTTAAGTAGCCTGATTGATTGCTAATATATAAAAGACACAAAGCCCTATGTGCACACCAATACATACAGACACACACCTATATATTGCTAGCCAAATTGTATAGCTTATCGTTCCTTTACCTGTTAACATGGCAACAAGGGCGCAGTATGAAAAGTGTACAGCTGTAAGCCAATGGCCCAAACACGGTAACAAAAACAAACCAATAAAATCTTGCAACACACCCTCAACCCATCTCCCGGCAACCACTTACCAGCTGATTTGCGTCATCCCCAGCGGTTACACTGCATGCAAACGCAAGCAAAATGACCAGCATCGGCGTCGATATGGCGCCACAAATCCCTGTTTTGCGTAGATTACTCATTACAACAACCATAACTCCTCCATAAATATGTGTCGGCGATTTTGCAAAAACTGCAGAACAAAGAATTTGTTGTTGTGCCCGAGTGGTTAGCACTTTTGCGCATCAAGTTCGAATGCTATACGGCTTATCAGATATACTCGTTAAATGCTTTAGTGTATTGTTTATTTAGACACGGTTAGTATTATTGCCGCTTCGATTTTTCAAAGACCGCTTCCTTATCTGAATAGCGCGCTAGAACTAACGAACGATAAACACAAGTCGGGCCCACGCAATGAATCACATTTATTGTACGAACGCTTGCTTATTCTAAACAACTAGCTGCATTTTATGCAACGCAGTAATTTTGATTAAACACAAACTCGGATAACGGCACCAGCGGAGCCGTAACGGGTTGGTGGAAATGCAAGAACAGCAACAGCATAGAAGAGGAAAGACCAGGGTAGAATGCAAACAGTGTTGAGTAACGTGCAAGCATAACAGCTGTTTTCCGAAATGATATAAAACAATAGTTATCAACACTTTTTACAGTGTTTTGCATTTATTATAACAAAATTTCCACCATATTTAACCAAGAATTTTATCTGAAAAAATGGCCGCAAATATTGCCGCAGCAGCCGCTGCTGCTCAAGAAGTAGATCCTGTACTGAAAAAGGCAATTAAATTGCTACATTCATCTAATCCAACTTCTGCAGCCGAACTTCGCCTGCTGCTGGATGAGGCGCTTAAATTGCGCTTTGGGCCTGAGAAGATGATATCAAAGAATATGACCCAGCGCATGATGGACGACGAGGCCAATTTTCCAGGTCGCGCAACCCCACAACCACCGGCACAGCCAGTGGCCACCGATGAGATTATCAATCTGACCAACTCACCGGATAAGGTGCCCTCAGATTCGCCCGACACCATTGCGGATTCCGATGATGGCAGCGCCGCTGGATTAGCCATGAGCGGTGTCGTCAACACAGGCGACACTGGAGACTTTGGTGACTTGAACTGTTGTGTTTGTGGCGAAATGGTGTATAAGGCCACCAATCGACTCATTGAGTGCTCCGACTGTGGCGCACTTTATCACCAGGAGTGCCATAAGCCACCCATTACCAATGAGGAGGCCGCCGACGATCAAGTCCACATTTGGCAGTGTGACACCTGTTGTAATAAGCCCTCAACAAGTCGGGCTGCTGCTAGCATGGTCTTGCCGGTCGCCACCCCCACTGTAGTCATACCCGATGAGCCCATGCCGCTCGCCAGCGGCCCCAAGACCAAATCGTCGGTGCCCTCGTCGCGTTCATCTACATCATCCAACTCGTCCTCGCCGTTTTACAAACCAGAGCCGAGCAGCTCCACAAATGCCAGCAGCAGCAGTAGCAGCAAGCATGGACACAAGTCATCCTCCTCATCGTCCTCCAAGTCGCATAAGGAGGAGCGATCAAGCAAATCTGTGGCTCCTGCAATAAACACGATCAGCGCACCAGAGAAACACACTAGCAGCAGCAGTGGCACTTCCTCCTCCAGGCGCGGCAGCTCGACTGCCAAGTCCAGCAAGAGTAAGCATCACGAAAGCAGCAGCAGCAGTAAACGCAGAGCTAAATAGTGGACACTTGAATTTCAATATATATGTATCATTATCTTTAATATTAATGTAAAAGCCAATGCACACAACATGTATACTTATAGAACATATTTAAGCTGACACAGGTTTGAAGCTTCAAAACATATACCCAGCAGCGTTTTATTAAATGAAAATATATAGTTATATGTATAAAAAATTTAATGGAATTAGCGCCTATACTTGCGCAGAGTGACTGCAGGCGTGCGTGGACTCCGCGTGGAGTTCAGAGCTGGCGAACTAGTACCCTCGTCGCCATTTACTTTTCGCAGATTAATACGTGTCGCTGGAGAGCTGCCTTTGGGCGTCGCGGCGATGTGCGAAGAGGGTGTCTTGTTGCTGCCAGAGGGAGTGGTGCTGCCTGCCTGCGCCTTCTTTTTGCGCTTTACATTCACAATGACATTGGCATCCATACTGACATCCAACTCGAAGTTGAACTCGTATGTTTTATTGGAGCGCGGCTGTGGAGTCAAGTCATCATTGATCACCGTCTTACCAGGCCTGCTACGCAGCGAAACTGCTGGACTAAAGTTGATCTTGGCATTAGCACCCTGTGCTTTCGGAGTGGCGTTGCTTTCCACTTTTGCTCGCTTGAGCGGACTCGAACGCTGTGGCGAGGTGGCTTGTGGTGCTTCGCGTTTCTTGGGCGAAGCTGAAGCTGGCTTGTGCGCCGCTTTGCGCGTTGGCGTGGTTCTTGTAGGTTTGGATCTAGAAGCTGGCGATGCTTTAGCTGCCACCAACTTTCTGCGCGGCGTGTATTTTGCATCCTTTTCCTCATCGCTGGCAATGACTTCATCCTCTGAAGAGGAATTTATTAGCAGAGATTCTTCTTTTTTAACCTTGCTCCGCTGTCCCAATGAAGCCGATGTCCCTGCCTTTTTGGCTGGCGGACTATTGTTGTTATTGCTGTTGTTCTGCGACGTCAGTTTAAAGTCCAAGTCCCCACTGTTGACCACTTTCATTTGCTTGAGAGCATTGAGGAAAAACGTGCGACACTTGTCATAGTTGGGTGCTTCGTTGTGCGCCAGCTTAGATACGTATTTCATGTAGTCAGAGATGGGTGCCGGCACCCCTTTGGGAAAGAGGGGCTTTAGTGCGGCGTTTACGTCCGCCATAAATGCCTCCTTGGCCTTCTGAACTTTCAGCGGTACTGTCAGCAGTTTTTCCCTGATCCAGGGCAGCTCCACTCCTAACCATTCAATAATATTGTAGCCGAGTATTTCAAGATCGGCCCGCCGAGTGGCTACGCCCAAATGTGCATCCCGCGATGTGTACTCAATAGTGCCATTATGCATTTTCTTTGGATCCGGTTTGAAATCCCCCGTCACATAGTGGGAAGCTAGCCCAAAGTCCACCAAATAGGCCTGACTACTACCGCCCTTACCAAGGCCAAGCAATATGTTAGCCGCCTTGAGATCTGCATGAACATAGCCGGTGCCGTGCATAAATTCATACACATCCAGCATTTGAATTGCTAGTCGGTAGACGGTAGCCTCGGGCAAGCGCTTGCCGTTCTGCGCATAGAACTTTGATATGTCGCTGCCGTATCGCGGCATAACTATGAACCGATGCTTCTGACCATTTATGTCCGCAGAGCCGTTGGCTAGTATGTAGGGCATACCCAGAGATTTGAGGCCATGCTGCTGCTTGAAGTTCTTGATGTCGTCTTGTTTTGCATTCCGCAAATAGAAGTGCATCTCGACGAACAGCGGCCCATTGGCATGTGGCTCCTGGAATATGAAAAGCCATCGATGAGGGCAAACAGTTTCACACATTTTGCAGCTTCAGCTACTTACGCATTTCACCACTGCATCGTAGTTCTTTTCGCCGTTGCGACACGCTGCATAGATTTCACCGAAGCCGCCAATTCCAATCGAGGGACCAATGCGCCACTGTCCCTTGGTCAGATCTGTGAGAACGGTGCCCTCTTTAAGCTTCTCCGGCATAGCATACAACTTGCCCTTGGCTTTTTTGGCCGGCGCTGCCTTTGGCTTGGCGGTACGACGCATTTTCGTATCTGAGACGGCTCAAGTTACAGCGTTGTTTAAATCAAACACAGTTCTAATCAATTCCAACATACAAATGCCGCCACAACGCATCTGCATCAACCGCGCGCCATTACATACGGCAGCATTGCCATTCACGAGGCTACGTCGCGTCATTTTACCCTCAACGCGATAGCAGATTTCTCAATTTTGCGTTAACAGAGCTGTGCGCATTAACAGAACGCGGTTCTGTCAAATTTAAATATATACGATTTGAAATTTTACGATTATATTTATAATGCAAAGGGCAATTGATTTTTTGTTTATTGCAGAGTGACAGATTTTAAAATCGTAGAAAATCCTTGCATTAACCGTCACTCCAATGGGATTCAATGAACCGGCATCATCATTTGCCACAGCATCCACATTGACTGCGCAGCTGTTTGAACTGTCACCCGGCTTTTGGATGCCACCCACCCTCAACCCTCAGGGAGCCTGCAACAGGACGATGCCGTGTCACATTTAAAAGAGCGCACATCAGGATCTCGTGCTCAGTAGATGTTTCATCTCGAAAGTCGACACAACGCATATAACACAGATAAAGTGAAAAAATAAACAACTTATAAAATGTCAGCGCGCGTTTAGAAAACAAACTTTTAGCGAGTGATAGATTACAAAAGTTAAAGATCAAATAAATAAACGGAGAGCTGTTCGACAAGTAAACGCAGCTAAAATGCAGCCAAGTGTCGGCAATAATGGAATGCTCTTATTGCTGTTACTTTTGATGCATCAAAATGCATTCAACTGGCATGCGGCTCTGGCATTGCCCGACGTTATAAAAATTGGTTAGTTTTGATTTATTAAAGATCAATCAATTAATATAACTACCGCCTCATTTCTCATTATTCATTGGTTGATTAAAATGGCATCCTTTACGCGTATCGATTTTTTTACATCAAAAGCGCGCGTGTGTCTGTGTGTGTGTATCCTCGTAAATGTCCTTACTGATGTGTGTCACCGTGTTTGTGTTTTGTTTGTTTTCCTTTGGCCGTCTTTTTTTTATGAGACACGTTTGTACTTGCTTATTAATAACATTGTTTTTCATCGTTTATCGCCGCAGGTGGGCTGTTTCATCCCTCGGACGACCATCAGGAACTCGCCTTTCGCCAAGCTGTCGAGCGGATAAATTCCGACCGCTCAATTTTACCCCGCTCAAAACTTGTGGCCCAAATTGAGCGCATTTCGCCATTTGACAGCTTCCATGCCGGCAAACGGGGTAAGCAGTAGGAGCCATCGCTACACCTGACCCCCTCAAATGTATCTGTTATTGTTTTCATTCATCCGTTTTGTTCCGTTTGGTCCCATTGAAAACATTGCACTTTATTTTTGTGTATTCTCCATTAGATTCCATTAGTTTTTGTATTATTGTTATGCAAATCGAGTTGACTATTGGGAATTCACATCATGTCCACATGTATATTCATATATCATAGAGCTAAATTATTGCAGTTGAAGTACATTTTCAATCCCCTCATTGTGTGGTGATTGTTTTTAATCTAAGCTCATGTGTTCTAATCTTATTGATGTGTAGCATTTGTATTATGTGAACTACACGCTGAAGTGTGTAAATTAATGCATGAATACAAATTGCAGAAACTATGCTACACACTCTTGTTGTAATAATTTAATTCGAGCTAGAAATGTGCTCAACGGAGTGCAGACATTTTAGCACTTGAGAATATATTGGGGGAAATGGTACTTTCACAGTTTTAAGATATGTGTTTGGCAAAATACTTGAATAAATATCTTATTATATTCTGGGTTTTAAATTCTAAAGCAATCCCAGCCTTAAGTGAGAACAGTTGGAACTTAAACAGAAATAATATTGTCTGTTGTAATAGCACATGGTAATGCAATCAAATAATTAGTTCTTTAAATTATAACTTGATTTAATATCTCAAATTGCTTTTATTTTAAAAATTTGCCAAAACTAAACCGTTTAAATACCTTTTAATTAAAAACAAGCAAACAGTTGATGTTAGCAATAATAGAAATTCCAATGAATAGAGCAGAAAATAGTGTGATTCTGATAAATGAGGAACAAAGCTCGTAAAAGGATACGTCGGGCCTTATTACCAACTCTCATAACCATAGATACCTTGCGGCACGGTAAAACACATTTTAGCACGACGGTAACAAGCTGGAAAGGACACACTTTCACACGACTACCTTATTTACCACAGACACACACAGACACACACAAGCAAACGATATGTTGCCCTCCATACCTATGCTTGTATATGTGTAGTGCACAACTACACCTGCACCCACACGTGCTCGGTAATTTGATGAGCCAAAGGATGGTATGGTAAAAGCCAAAGGCAAAATGGAATTATGTCAATTTGAAGTGCATTTTAAATATGCGAACTAGGCGAAACGAGCTTTACTGTATCTGCCGACAAGTATATGCGCTACTTGGACTCATTTTGCGCTGCCGCAAATCATGGGATTCCATTCGAGATAATCTTGCTGGCGCACTGGCATAAGGTGCATTGGGACTTGGATTGGGAGCAGCAGTAAGCGTATTACATGAAAATCAATTTGAGACTCAGAGGTTGCTCGCTTGGGATTTATGTTTATAGCAAACATATATTTGCACTACCTACCTCAGCAATCTCCTCAAGCCTTTGGCAGTCAGTGCAAATGTTGGCCAGTAGCTGAGAATCCGCCTTATACATTACTCTCCCGTCATATCCTTTTCAGTTTGCGGCTTGTTGAACATTGGCGTAGCTGCAATTTTTGGCCCACAATCCTCGCATACGGCCAGCCATGTGCAGAGCATATGCGACAACATGGAAGTGAGTCCTTCTGTTTAAGTGGGGCATGTGGGGGGGGTAGTTGTGAAATCGCCTTAATCTATGTCGGCTGTTGCACACAATTATTTAGATACCGCATTTGGAGAATCGCTGGGATTACCGCCTGAGACGCGAAAGCTGCCTGGTGAATCTTTATCCCCATCCAAATACGCTCTCCAAGGTAATGTGCATGTGTGTGCTTGTGTTTTGCTGGCAACTGTACTTTAGCTGCTGATATTTGTATTTGTGCTCAGGCTTATGTGGATATTGTGCGCCACTGGGGCTGGAAGACTTTCACCATAATCTATGAGAATAACGATGGCATTGTGCGGCTGCAGGAACTGCTTAAGGCGCATGGGATGACGCCATTTCCAATCACAGTGCGCCAGCTTAGCGACAGCGGAGACTATCGGTGGGTTCATCTTTAAGCAAATAAGCCAGTTAATTCTTGATCTATGTCAATCCCATCATATAGACCCCTGCTGAAACAGATTAAGAACTCGGCGGAAGCGCATATTGTGCTGGACTGTTCCACGGAACGCATTCACGAGGTGCTCAAGCAGGCACAACAGATCGGCATGATGAGCGATTATCATAGCTATTTGGTCACCTCGCTGGATCTGCACACCGTGGACCTGGATGAGTTTCGTTACGGCGGCACAAATATAACTGGCTTTCGTTTGATCAACGAGAAGGTCGTCTCGGATGTGGTGCGTCAGTGGAACATCGATGAGAAGGGCATGCTCCGTTCGGCCAATCTGACCACTGTGCGCTCGGAGACGGCGCTCATGTATGATGCAGTGCATCTGTTTGCCAAAGCGCTGCATGATCTGGACACCTCACAGCAAATCGATATACATCCGATCAGTTGCGATGGCCAGAGCACCTGGCAGCATGGCTTCAGTTTAATCAACTACATGAAAATTGTGGAGATGAAGGGCCTAACCAATGTCATCAAGTTCGATCATCAGGGCTTTCGCACAGACTTTATGCTGGACATTGTAGAGCTTACGCCGAGCGGCATACGCAAAATAGGCACCTGGAACTCAACGCTGTCCGAGGGCATCAACTTTACGCGCACCTTTAGTCAGAAACAGCAAGAGATTGAGGCAAATCTGAAGAACAAGACCTTGGTAGTGACCACCATACTGGTATGTATGCATAGCGCCAGGATCAACTGCATTTCGTAGTAACTAACTGCTTCTACTCTTTTGCAGAGCAATCCTTACTGCATGCGCAAGGAATCGGCAGTGCCTCTGACGGGCAACGATCAGTTTGAGGGCTATGCCGTGGATCTGATTCACGAAATATCCAGATCGCTAGGCTTTAACTATAAAATTCAGCTGGTGCCCGATGGCAGCTATGGTAGCTTAAATAAAATGAGCGGGTAAGTTGCTTTGTACATATGAGCATATGATTTTATGCTTACCTCTATTTATTTTACAGCGAATGGAATGGGATGATACGCGAGCTGTTAGAACAGCGTGCGGATCTGGCAATAGCCGATCTCACAATCACCTTTGAGCGCGAACAAGCTGTGGACTTTACCACGCCGTTTATGAACCTCGGCGTTTCTATACTCTATCGCAAGCCCATTAAACAGCCACCCAATTTGTTCTCCTTTCTGTCGCCATTATCTCTGGACGTTTGGATCTACATGGCCACAGCCTATTTGGGCGTCTCCGTATTGCTCTTTATATTAGCCAAGTGGGTTAACTTTTTTGTAACCAAAATGACTTCCTATTGACTGTCTTTATTGTTCAAATAGATTTACGCCCTACGAGTGGCCCGCCTACACCGATGCCCATGGCGAGAAGGTCGAGAGCCAGTTCACATTGCTCAACTGCATGTGGTTTGCCATTGGCTCCCTTATGCAGCAGGGTTGCGATTTTCTGCCCAAGTAGGATTGACACAATTTATGTTATATGCTTGGCTTAGCCTTGTTTTGGATTGCTTTTAGGGCTCTGTCGACTCGCATGGTAGCTGGCATTTGGTGGTTTTTCACGCTGATCATGATCTCCTCGTACACAGCCAATCTGGCAGCATTTCTGACTGTTGAACGCATGGACTCACCTATTGAGAGTGCCGAGGACTTGGCCAAGCAGACGCGCATTAAATATGGCGCTCTCAAAGGTGGCAGCACGGCGGCTTTCTTCAGGGTAAGCCATACACTTAAAATGCAAGAGAAGTGCCAAACTAATAATTGCCCTTTGTAGGACTCGAAGATCTCTACATATCAGCGGATGTGGTCCTTTATGGAATCGGCACGTCCCTCGGTCTTTACGGCCAGCAATGGCGAAGGCGTTGAGCGCGTGGCCAAGGGCAAAGGTTCTTATGCATTTCTAATGGAATCCACATCCATCGAGTATGTCACAGAGCGCAACTGTGAGCTAACCCAAGTGGGCGGCATGCTGGATACCAAAAGCTATGGCATAGCGACCCCGCCAAGTGAGTTCCATCGAAGTGCAGTCTTTTAGTGTATATTTCATGGTTTGCTTATGCCTCACACAGATTCGCCTTATCGCACTGCCATCAATAGCGTCATACTCAAGCTGCAGGAGGAGGGCAAGTTGCATATACTGAAAACCAAATGGTGGAAGGAGAAACGCGGTGGTGGCAAGTGTCGCGTGGAGACTTCTAAGTCATCGTCGGCGGCCAATGAGCTGGGACTGGCCAATGTGGGTGGCGTCTTTGTGGTGCTAATGGGCGGCATGGGCGTGGCCTGTGTCATAGCCGTATGCGAGTTTGTGTGGAAGTCACGCAAAGTCGCCGTCGAGGAACGTCTCAGCGCAATTCTAAACGAATGAGAAAAGTTGTAAACCCAGGATGAATGGGTTTAAAAGTCGGTCGGTCGACGATTTGGACCAGGAACCAATAAATGCAAGCATACATTGTTGCAGCGCATAAATCCCAATCTGTAGTATAGCTACGAAAAATTATATTCTGGCATACCCGTTAGGCAGCGCACTTGAAGAAGGGAAAATTAATAAAGTTATTTCAGAGAGAGAGAGAGTGTTTGGGAAAATGGAAAGAAAGGCGCAACCAATGATAACCTTTTGAAAATTAGCAATAGACAAAACATTTATATACATAAACATAAACTATTGAACGAGAAAAAAAGTATATACGCACAGTTTATATGATAGACCTTCTTTCGTAATACTAATATTATATTATAAATACAATACAACAAGTACGGATAACAATCGAAATCGTATGCATTTATATTTGAAAGCATTTTTGGAATTGTATAATAGTGATAAGTGTAGCTAAATTATACATACATACATTACATAGATGCATATACACATATATATACATATACATATGTACACCAAGCGCAATACTTGGCCAATATATCTATAATACCATTTAAATATATATACTACTTAATAAAAACCCTAATATGCTCATAGAAATAAGTTAGAAAATAGCCAATAAAACAAAAAGAGAAAACCTAACCTAAGTGAATTGTAACTCTTAGTTAAAACCCTTCGTTCTTTCAGTTCCCCTACTTCCCTAGCTGTAAGATTGTAAAATGTAATTACCTTACACGCAATATTGATGAACAATTTCATAAATATAATTAAATAAACGAAGTTAACACCGCAAACACAATAGTTTCGTAGTCGAAAATCCTTTATCGGACACCTGCAACAATTTGCTGACGTGCCCGACATTTGATGTGGATGTCGACGCCTAACCGCAAACTGTCAATCAGCCGGCGACCGCAGGAAAACCCTTCGCCGCCGACTTTGCCCAGCTTTTAAATATTTGATGTGGCTTAGCAACACGCCCCAGTGCGCTCCAATTGCTCGATTTTAATTGGCTTCATGGCTTTTATATTTTATCCTCTAACATAAATCAAAGGCCCCATCGGTCGTATTGTTAGCTTTCACTTATCAGTTAACTTTCAGCGGTTCCGGCATCATGAGGCCTCCGGCCATGGTCTTCAGTGTGGTTTGTGGCCTGCTGCTCTACGTGCCGGCTCCAGTCGGGGCCAATGACTTCTCCTCTTTTCTGAGCGCCAATGCCTCCCTGGGTGAGCATGGACACATCCAAATATGTTTTTCGGCTCGGCAGTTTGATTCTTTCAGCTGTGGTTGTGGATTACGAATATATGGCTATGCATCGACAGAACATTTTGGCACATTTTGAGAAGATTCTCAGTGATATCATACGCGAGAATATGAAGAATGGCGGCATCAATGTGCGCTACTTCACCTGGAATGCCGTTAAATTAAAGAAAGGTGAAAGAGAAACTTTACAGAATATTTGTGGTTCAATTTAGTCTCTAACAGATTTTCTGGCTGCCATAACGATTATGGACTGTGAGAGTACCTGGAACTTTTATAAAAATACACAAATAACATCGATACTTCTAATTGCCATCACGGATTCGGATTGTCCGCGTCTACCGCTTAATCGTGCGCTGATGGTGGGTAATCTTTTGGACAGAATTGACGTGCATTTCCATCAAAGTTCTTTATGCTTTCAAGATACCCATGGTGGCGCAGGGCGATGAGTTTTCTCAAATTTTACTCGACGCCAAGGTGCAGGGGATTTTCAAATGGAAGTCGGTGGCTGTATTCGTAGATCAAAGCATACGTGAGTATTCCAAAAGTTTAGCCCGTCCAGCTACCATATGGATGTATTTTCCTTTACCCTGCCGCAGTCGAGGAGAATCCGATGTTGATCAAGTCCATTGTGCACGAGAGCACCATAAATCATATACCGCCGTTATCGGTGATTCTCTACAAGATTGACGAAACGCTGCGTGGCCAGCAAAAGCGTGCTGCTCTGCGCCAAGCATTGGCACAATTTGCGCCCACCAAACACGAACTGAAGCGCCAACAGTTTTTGGTCATTTCCCAGTTCCATGAGGATATCATTGAGATAGCCGAGACATTGAGCATGTTTCATGTGAACAATCAATGGATGTTCTTTGTGTCGGAGCAACTGCATGCAGGTTTTGATGCCAGTACTGTGACCATGAATCTGGACGAGGGCGCCAACATAGCATTTGCACTCAATGAGACCGTGTCCGATTGCGTAGATACACTAAACTGTACCATATCGGAGGTATCAATGGCCGTTGTCACCTCGCTGTCACGCATGATCCTCGAGGAGCAATCGATCTATGGAGAAATATCCGATGAGGAATGGGAGTCAATACGCTTTACCAAGCATGAAAAACAAGACGAGATGCTGCAGTACATGAAAGTAAGCCAAGCTAAAGAAATTCTATACCCACGCAGAAGCTCAGGTGTGGTTCGTATTTTGCCAGGAATATCTGAAGGCTAACAGCAAATGCGCAAGCTGCGCCAAATGGCGCTTCGAAACGGCCATCACCTGGGGTAAGAGTCAAGAGAATCGTAAATTTCGCATGGGTAAGTTCGCAAAGAATCTATAGGATTTATACTGACCCAACTGCCTGTCCGAGCGCAGCGCCAACTCGCGATACGAAAAACCGAAACTTTGAGTTCATCAACATAGGATATTGGAGCCCACTTCTGGGCTTTGTATGTCACGAACTAACCTTTCCACACATAGATCAGCACTTTCGCAACATCACCATGGATATTGTCACAGTGCATGTGAGTCATTGAACCAGGAATATATGTATGTAATTCTTATATATTGGTTCAAATTTCTCGCAGAATCCGCCCTGGCAAATACTGACTAAAGACAGCCGCGGAGCCATCGTGGAGCACACTGGCATTGTCATGGAAATACTAAAGGAACTAAGTCGCGCTTTGAACTTTAGCTATTACCTGCACGAGGCCCATTCGCCGGACTACGAGTACTCGCTTGGCCAGAGCACAAATGAGAGCGTAAGGATAAGAGTAGAAAATACTTGAGAATATTAATATTACTGCATTGGCCTGCAGGATGAGCTGATGGGCTCAATGACCTATCGCATACCGTATCGTGTGGTTGAGTTGGTGCAGGGCAGTGGGTACTTCATGGCAGCCGTGGCAGCCACCATTGATGAGCCGCACAAGAAGCGCTTTAACTACACGCAGCCCATAAGCATACAGAAGTACACATTCATTTTGCGCCAGCCGGATGAGGTGAGTCGCATCTATCTGTTTACAGCTCCGTTCACCCTAGAGACCTGGGGCTGTTTGGCGGGCATTTTATTGGTGACGGCGCCCATGCTGTACATTGTTAATCGGCTGGTGCCGCTGCAGGAGCTGCAAATCCGCGGCCTGTCGACAGTCAAAAACTGTTTCTGGTACATTTACGGAGCGCTGCTGCAACAAGGTAGGCGAATCGGGCTCCTTCAACTGCAGTCTTCCTAAAAAAAGCAACTCTTGCAGGTGGTATGTATCTGCCTCGTGCGGATAGTGGCAGGTTGGTGGTCGGTTTCTGGTGGCTTGTTGTCATTGTTCTGGTTACCACCTATTGCGGGAATCTGGTTGCTTTTCTCACATTCCCAAAGTTTCAGCCGGGCATCGATTACCTTAATCAATTATTTGATCACAAGGAAATCAAACAATATGGCCTGCGTAATGGCACGTTCTTTGAGAAGTATGTGCATTCCACGACACGTCACGATTTCAAGCGCTTCATGGAGCGCGCTTTAGTCTATAATAGCTCACAAAGCGAGAATATTGCAGCAGTAAAAGAAGGTGAACGTATCAACATTGACTGGCGAATTAATTTGCAGCTTATTGTGCAGCAGCACTTTGAGCATGATAAGGAGTGCAAATTTGCATTGGGAAAAGAAGACTTTGTGAGTGAGCAGATCGGATTGATTGTGCCCTCGAGCAGCGCCTATTTGCACTTGATCAACCAGCACATAGATCGGCTGTTTCGCATGGGTTTCATCGATCGCTGGCATGATACGAATCTGCCCTCGATGGACAAGTGCAATGGGAAGCATATGCAGAGGCAAATCGCTAATCATAAAGTGAACATGGATGATATGCAAGGCTGTTTTATGGTTCTTCTTTTTGGCATCATTGCGGCGTTGCTAGTGAGCTGCATTGAGTTCTGGTATTATCGGTTATTAGTTCTGAACAAGGGTCAGAGCATTGCCTTTGCCAATTGACACAAACACACGAGACGCGTCGGATTACAACTTGACGTGCGTAAAATAAGTTGTGTTTAATTGTTGAAAATTACTATATGAACATTATTTTGCAATAAAAAATAGCTCAGCTTCTGTTCATCATTCCTTTTGCAAACTTATCCGTCTTACGTCGAGTTGGCGTTGGGGCCACGACGACGGCCGAAGCCCTGAACAATGTTGACAAAGCGGCGATTGTACTGGATCCTACGCTTGGCGCGACCGGTCTTCTTCTTCTTCTTCTCCTGCTTCTCAACCTTAGGGGTCTGGCCCTTGACCTTACCGGCACGCGCCAAAGAACCGTGCACCTTACCACCAATCATGGGAATGGTAATGTCCAGCTCGAAAGAGCTCAGAGCAGTCACGGGCGTGTCATTGGTCAGAGTGGTACCCTCGCAGTTCAGGCTGAATTCTTCGGAATCGAAGCCATGCAGCTGGGCGATTTGATTCTATGATGCGAGAAATAACAGAAATGAGGTTAGGGGGAAGTTTTTGTTGTCGTGACTTCCACAATCACTCACCTTGACACCAGCAATGGTGGCATCCTGGGACACCTCCAAAGCCTCAATTGTTTCCAAGCCACGTACGAAAAGCTGCATATTGATGTGCTCTAAAAATCGAATAAAACGAAATTAAATTGACATCCAGAGCCTACGCCTATGCCGAAGTGGGAAAACACGTGTAGCATTTCGCACTGATATTTTCACAACCTAGCGCAACGCCAAGTTAGGAATTTTATGCACAACACATTTTGCACACTTCATACAATACATTTCGCGCATTTACGTTATTAAAACCCTTTAAATATCCATAATTTTAGCAAAAACTTTTGCTCACCTTGTCACTTTTATGCGGATCTATCGAAAAGAAAGAAACTAGGGTTGCTGGCGATATGTTATATTTGTAATCGTCAACAGTTGTCGCTAGAGGGCGCTAATATATTTAATGCAACTCGGCGAATTCGAACAGTGCTGCCAGACGTTTTAGACAATTAATGGCGGGCCTTTGCTTAATTTAAACTGCGAAATATTTTTAAATTTGTATATACATAATCAAATGATAAGAAATGCAAATAGTTTAGAGTTTACATATATGACTTAAATTTATATGTACAATGTGTAGCTATTTATGTCAAATGGCAAGCAAGCAGCCTTGACAAAGGCCAGTCTAACTGACGCTACACTAAGCCACAAAGTGCGCTTACCTCAATCTACGTAAAAATGGGAATTACGTTAATCTCGGCATGTCTAGTCTGCTGTGCCCGACTTGACCCACATTGGTATTATGTGCGTGCGCCTGCACTGCTTTTGCCTGCACATTGTCTTTGGCACTAAGAATAGGACCTGGGAGGACATTTACAGCCCAATGCGGCGCATGGCTGTGTTATTCTACGCCATTAGAATAAATATTGCCGCATTGTTTGTCAAACAGGACTAGATTAGTAACATAAACATTCGTTCATTGAATGCAAATCATAAGCCGATTTTGCAAATTTGCACGAATTATCTTCAACTAATGAGTGTGGCTTAAATTGTTCAAGAAGGTTTCTGGCAATATGCTTTAAAGTTTTTGATACATTTTATGCACTCCCTCTATCAGCTGGAATGCATTTGAGCACCGAACAGATGTGTCATTTGATATATTTGTCATCTTATACATAGTAGGCATCAATTTAGAACCCTTCGACGACCATTTCCTTTCGTTTCATATCGCCGATGTTCATTTAGTATAGGTAAATGGCGCATGCGCTCCAGGCCTCCTCTTGCCCACATTGGTCCAGTTTTTAGATACTTATATGATCGGATTAGGCTAGGCTTAGGTATAGACACCGCCAGGATTTGCGTAAACTCATTTGCCTTCCAGTTTGCCGAGATGGCAAAATCATAATCATCTTTCGTATTCGCAAGAGTATCCTTAAACAGGGCGCTCCCCGCACGTCTGCACTTTTTGCTGTGGGTCGCCGCTTGGTAATTTGATATTTTTGTTGTATGCAAACAATGGAAAGCGGAAAAACAAATTATTCTTGACCATGAAAACAGCAACAATTGCGGAATCGGCTTAGCATATGCCCCGCCTCACTCTTCAGCGCTGTTTGCTGTTTTTCCGGCACGCGAATCGCTTCGTTTTCATTGATGATTTCTAAAAAGAAAATTTCCCAGGGAGCAGCATTTTTACACACAGTGATTGCACATGGTTCACGCACTCTCATGATACCCTTGGCGGCAAGGTATGTGAAGAGCATGTGTGGGAATAGTATAAAGCAAGTCCAGATTGCAGTTTCCACAAAAACGTATCTCATCTGGGAGATCACATTACTTAACTTGTTGTTTTATATATATTTGGATTATGTTAATTTATCTGATAAAAAAGTGCGTTTTCTTCAACAGATTTCATTTTATCCATTTATATATTAAATCAAACCAAAATCGAGGACTCATACAATTATCTTACTTGATAAAATGTGTTTCCCTTTTAAAATGAAGTAAACATTTCAATTCTTCTCTAAAGTTATTAATACAAATTAACAAATATTTATCGATTTTTATGTATTGCTGAGGAAACAATTTCATTTACTAATAATAGTGCTAAAGTTTCAATATAAAATATAATTGTTAAAAGTAGACTGAAAGTAAATAAATTATTTTCTTTAAAAGGTTAATTTATTTGCAGAATTTAAGCATGCCTTTAGTCTAATAAGTCAATTAAAATATATAGAAATTTGTATATAACAAGTGTCATTAAAAAATATATGAATAAAACATAAAAGGCTTATAATTATTTAAAAATATATTTTGCAGCTGATTTTCGCTTTAACTAAGCACAGTTCCTTACAACTCTAGAGTTACTAGCTAAAATTAAAAAATCTAAAGCACGTTTGTACTATAAATCCTAAATTCTAAAAGATCCATAGTTATTCAAAATTTGTATATCTAATTTCCAGGCAACTTCAGAATTTATCTCATATAAAAGACCTTTTAGAGCCATAATTATCCGTTCTATAAAATGAATCACATAATCAAAAGAATTTATGTTCAAGTATTTCATTTAAAAGTTTGTTTTATTTATAAAATTTAATGTTAATAATAATTTATGTATTGTCTTTGTATCGTAAGTCTAAACATACATGTGCTTATAAAGAAATAATATTTACAAAAAGTCTTTCAATCCAATGTACAAACAATCACAATTTACACACTAACAGCCAAAATTTGAGCTTTCTTTCTAAACACGCCCCGTTTAGGCTCCAATTGCTTTTCAAACAATGACCAATATATCCGACTCCGTGTCCGGCTCCGGACTGGATGCATTCGATGAGAAGGTGGAGTCGCAGCTCTCGTCCTTCTCCCGTTTCTCACGTCTTTCGCGGGCACGACGATTCTGGAACCAGATCTTGACGCGCGTATTCGTCAGCTCCAGAGATTCGGCCAACTTGTTCGCATCCTCGGCACTCAAATAGTTGGACTCCTTGTAGGCACACTCCAATGCCTGTAGCTGGGCGGGTGTGAAGGGAATGCGTGGCAGGCGGCCCGGTGTGCGCTTCGCGGGTCCCTGACGCAGCGCTCGCGGCAGCTTGGGCGGATGGTAACGCGTATATTGCAGCCAGTCGTACATGGGCATCGGTCCATCCAACATGGAAACTGATGCTGCGGACGGCAACTGCTCCTTGCGTGCAGGCGAAGCGTATGGATGATACAGGTTGACTCCAAGTCGCTGCATTATGCCCACGGAGGCATTGGTGCCGACATATCTGTCGCCGGCGCGGTTCAGTATGTAGTCGATGCTAAAATCACTCATCCTAAACGATCCTTGCGCGCCTCAGTGCCAAATAGCTACTGTTTCAGCGCTCTGCGCATCCTTGGCTATTTAAGGCTGCTCTCTGAACAGGCACAGCCACCATTTTGTGCACCACAATGGCACCACAAGCGACCGCAGCCAAGAGCAGCACCGTATGGCCATCCCTGTCTGGCAGCGGCTTCCCATCTCATTCGGCATTCGAATCTCATTTGGGCGCAGCGAGGCGTTTAATAGGCGTTGCCCGGCTCTGGCCAGAGACGGGCGAGCACATCAGGTAGGCTGCCGTTTATTATTACCCTTATCAGCCCGCGATTAGGCAGCGCAAGTAATTGAAGTTGACACACGGAACCGGCCAAAGATACAGATACAAATGCGGATACAGATACTTGAGCGATTTGAATGGAGTGTATCTGCATCATCAACTGCTTCTGTTTATGGTTTACACTTTGTTTGTTATGGTTATCGTTAGTGGTTTTTGGGGTGGTGCCGCAGGCCACCCCTTGTCCTAATGTACTCATCTGCTGCGCCATTTTCAATGGGAATACGAGTTGAGCCTCAAATTTTAATATGTTTTGATTGATTTGTAATTTTGTTTTGCCATAAACGAGTTTTCATCAGACTAAATAAAAGGTATCAATTACAATATTAATTTGCTGGCATATGTTCGGCAAGAAGTGGGGACTCTTTTGCACAAAGATTTAAATCCTATGTGGAATTGAAGTAAAATATTTAATATAGACATTAAATAACTTTAAATGCCTATCCAACTTATTTTGTATAGTAAATATTCAAACAAAGTAGACAATAAAAGAAAGAGGTGTCATTAAAATACTATGGACAAATTAAAAGAAATAAGGCGCACATGTAATAAATTAAAAATTTATTATTCAACTTAACCCAAGCTATTTAGCAAGATTATTCATATATAAAAAAGATTGCCAACTTCGAGGCTATCAAGGAGCTTTAATCGAATAAACATTTACTACTAGAAACAACCTTTGTTTGTGTTAATAATCACAGAAAACTTATCTTTGACAGGTTCTTGAACTAATTGACTGAGACGCTTCACCTTTCCTAGAATATGTATTATTGACTACGCGATAAGATATGCACTATATTATTTTATTTGTTCTTATTAAGAAAGGTATTTTGATCTGTTGGCAAGCAACAAATGCGCAAATCAAATGCATAAATAATGAAAAGAGGAAAACTGAATTATTGCAATAGACTAAACAGCTGTCTTCTTATCGTTGATATTGCTGCAATTATGTCCTGCAATTGTCATATAATTGTCAACTAATTTGTGCCCAACCCAAATTAGTTGCGGAAACTGCTTGCAAACTCACAGGGTGCGATCGGAACTGCCGATAGGCGTTGGCAACAATACACTCGAGATACAGATACAGGCACAGACAGCAAGGATACTAAGGAATGCAGATGCATCTTTGGCTGTGGTTAAACGACAGTCCACCAGCTTGGATTGCCGGGGTTGATTCATTTAATAGCTGATTGCATGCAGATGCAGAACTTCTTGAGAGTAGCATCCCCTACACACTGCGAGTACTCCCTGTATGCCGTCATTCGACTAATGCTGGGCACAGAAATGGAGATGCGCTGTGTCGCGTTGCTCCACTTGACCGTTGCCTCGAACAATGCCGCGGCTGGTGCCGTCTCGTATCTGACCAGGTAGGAATCGGTTTGGTTTGAGTGCGATAATATTTGCGCTTTCACAGACTTAATTTTAGTTAATTTCAGGATCTCACACGTTCCTGTCAGATTTTTAGCTGCCAAATAATTGTTTGTGGCCTCGACCAGCTGGTCTGCCAGGAGTTTTGCCTTCGGATCGGTCTGTGGCACCTCTTCTAATTCCAGGCAAGTGCACCAGTGTTCATCGATGCCCGCATCGGTGCAATCTCTTGACTCGGCTACCTCCAAAAAAATGCTATGACAGCTGGGACAACCTTCAGGTCTTGGTAAGTTAGCGAACGGTGTCTCCAACTCCAGGATGTGCATCAATGTTGCGTGGATGTCGTACGGTGAAGTTAGGCGATTCCGATTAAGCATTAAATTAATTACATGCTCTGGATACTTTTGCCTAAACCAATTGGGTAGCCAAATATACATAATGGGCATGCGCTCCTCCAGAAAGCCACTCTCCAAGCTGCGTAGTGCGCCGAATCGCATTCCATGATCACTAAAGAATAAAATAATGGAATTTTCAAGGGTTCCACTTTTCTGCAATGTGTGCATATATTCAAGGATCTTGGCATCCATGGAAGAGGGCAGGGCAAAGTTGTTGTGGCTAAAGGAATTCGTCCAGAACATGCCAAAGGTGGACTGATTTTTATAGAATTCCGTAAACTGTAGTGCAGCGTCAGAAATATACTCCGCTAAATGCCTTCGTCCCACGCAATAGGGTATGGCCATGTCGTTCACCTTCGGCAGCTCCTTCTCAACGGCCAGCATTAGTGGACGTGCATAGTAATCCGTTGGAGGGTTTTGAAAGCCCTTAAATAAAAAATTGAACGTAGAATAACGGCTCCAGTCCTCCGCATAAGCTGTTATGTAGCGCTTTTCCTTGTATTTTTTCCAGAGCATTGGACAAGCATCCAAGCCACCCACTTCTTTGGGCTGGCAGACTGACAGGGATCTGGTGCTATTAAATCCTGTCAACACCGCCATTAAATTGGGAAATGTGTTGTCTCCCATCTGAGTAAGACATTTGATAATAGTAAAGTGCCGGATGTATTATGGAAACACACACCTTGTTGTAGCCCTGCAGCTCGTACCAGTTCTCTTCTCTGAGATACTTGTACATCAACGGCATGGTCCGCTGGAAGTTCATTCGCGACATGGAGTCAATGCCCCAGAGCAGGACACTGGGTCTACCCTCAGGGGATTGATCCATTGTTGAATTATTCAAAGTTGTGCGATTGTCCACATGTCTCGCTGGTTGCACAAAGCCAAAGGCATCCTGTTGCAACAGCTTTTTGTCCTTCAAGCGACGGCATTCGGTGATGATCGCATCTACGTGTTGAGGCACAACGAAATCCTGATGAAAATTACTGCATGGCAGCAATCTATGATCACAATCGTGATCATTTTATAATTATCATAATAAATTAATATTTGTTTATGTATAGTACGTGCTTACCTATACATCTGGTCCGCATGATCGCGATCGCCGGAACGCAGGATCTGTTTATAACAACATGTGATATTCACTTCGTTCATATGTAGCCTGTAGAGACCCTCCTCAAAGTGCACGGTGATGAGATCCTTACTTGGATCGCACTTCTTGTATGTTTTTGGTTTATATATTTTCAAAACATCAGCCGTAAAGGGATATGGGGCAGACATACGACACTTTGAGGTTTTCACATAATATTTGCTATCGTTGTGCTCTGCTGATATTGCAGAAATTTGAATTAAGCTCGTGATGAACTACACCAAATATTTCACTATTACCCAGAGTTGAATTGAAGACATAAATTTCAATTGGTATCTGCGTACTTGGATTTATTGTAGTCGTAGAGCTAAGCCTTGGGTCATTTAAATCAGTTTCCACAGTTGGCCTTGTTTCTGAGACATGTCTAAGATAATACAAGACAAGCAGCAGAACCGAGGCAGAGCCTAGCAGAACTTTGAAGGGCAGCCGTAAAGTCCGCTCCCCGAAACGTGGCGGACTCTGTGGCCCAAGCAACTGGTATTTCAATTTTGCCATAGATATTAATGTATTAAATCACATTTCTTTTTAAACCGATTCTTATTTGTTTGCTGGTTTTATAATCGATGTGCTCTGCATGGTGCCTCATAGCCGACTGCCCACTACTTGTGGGGTTATCAAGGCAGCCGATTCAGCAAACACACTTATATAAATATATACAAATATGTGTCGGGTTCACATCATTGCTAATTCCTATGTGAGCCCTGATATGGTCTTATCATTATACAAAAAAAAGCATTAATTTGTAATATTTATCTACCACACAGTCGGCACCTAATGCCAAATATAAGTTTCCTATTCAATTTCTTGCTGATAGCCGCATATATCATCGGGTTTGATCATCATGGTATCTAGAACTCTTACGAACTTATACAGTTTAGTTCGAATTGAAGGCAGGCACTCGGCAATTGTAGCGTCACCTAATCAAAATTGCGTTACAAAGATTGCATAATATCGAATGATTATTTTGGGACTTAAGATAAAAACTCTAAAGCCCCTTTAAGCTAGACTATGCCCTTTTATATGTATATGACTAGCTTTTATTATCAGGCCTTGCCTGGATCAAATTTGTTGCTTAAAACCTTAAACCTCGACATTCCATCAATTTACGATCGGTAGAATATTTAAAATTCAACCCGTACTTTCTTTAAATTCAGAATTTCCGTTCTTTATGAACCTTTTACCCCATTCATCATTCTACACAGATGGATTTGGCGAAAAGTGTGAAAGACATCTTAAATAAATTGACACAACGAGACTGTTTAAAAGAGTTTGAAGTCGATTACAACAAAAGCAAAAATGTAACATGCAGCCGCTTCCTGCAAATTTTCCCGACTGCAAATTGGAATAACCTAAAATCCTGAAAAATGTGTTCATTTAGACTTTATGCCGGGAAGCCGGAAAGTTTCGAAAAATACGAATCATTTCTTAAATAAATGTTCATAAAAATCTTTAGAATTGAGTTTGAGCTCCAAACTTCAAATACCAAAGTTTTGCACTTCATTTTTATCATATACGGAAGGGTTTTCCGAAATGTGAAAATGATTTTCAACAAAGATCTTTGAAAATGATTGCATGGTAAAAGTTTCACACCATTTTTCACGATTTTTCAACATTCAGACGTGAAATTTTTAAAGCAAATTTTACACAAGGCTCAAAATTTATCAGGCTGTGCATAAATCTCCAATCGATATTTAATTTTTTTTTCATTTAATTTTTAGAGATTCAATCAATGTACCCAAAATGATAAGCAAAATGATAAGGCATGCAAGGAAAGTAAAATCATTTGGCATTTGGACAAGAATTATAACTTATATATGTCGCTAGTAATAAAAAATTCGATTAGTGCAATTGGCATGTTTACAAGCAAAAATTGCGCTTCGTATTTATAACTTCTTAAACTCACTTTTATAGCATACTTCAAATGATCTTGAATTCTACAAAACATTGGATTTTAATTATAGGACTATATATAGTATGGCTATTAATGCTTATTTAATAATATTAACATCAATTATGTATTCAAATAAAACTTTGTGCACGGCATATCACGATGAAAATAGCTCAAATATCCAATTTTGGATTTAATATATGAGTCAAAGACTTAAACAGCTGTCTCAGACCTGTTGAGTATTATTATTAATATAAGTTCCAATGAAGAACTGAATAAATCTTCCGTTGGCTTTTATCTCAGAGATAAACAAACGCGGAAATAGACAATATCAGGGCTTGTGTTCTGCATAGTCATAGCATATGCAAAACTTTTTAGCAATATTATCTTCTACGCACTTGGATAGTTGACTGTACGAGTCCAGACGACTTATATCAGGCACGTTAATGGAGATTCGCTGAGTTTTGTTATTCCAATCAGTCGAAGCCTCAAACAGGGCATTCTCCGGTTGGGCCTCGTACCTGACAAGATACGATTCAAATGCCTTCGCTTTCAAACTTATTTTTCTCTGCACCGACTCGATATTTGACAATCTTAGAGTCTGACAAACGTCAGTCAGATTGTTGGCCACAAGATAGGCGTTTGTGGAATCAATCAGCTGTTGTGAGATTTCCTTAATATGATAATCCGTTCGTGAGTTTTTTTTGAACGTGTGGCAAGTACACCAATGATCATTAATGCCCGCATCCCGGCAATCCCTCGACTCGGCTACTTCGTAAAAGATGCTATGACAACTGGGACAGCTTTCGGGTCGCGACAGCTCTGCCAGCGGAGTGTCCAGCTCCAGAATGTGCCGCAACGTGGCATGGATGTCGAAGGGCGAGGTTAAACGATTCCTATTCAGCTGTAAACTATGCACATACTGTGGATATTTGTGCCTAAACCAGTTTGGCAGCCAGATATATAATATAGGCATGCGTTCCTCCAAGAATCCACTATCCAGGCTGCGCAGTGGACCGAATCGCATGCCATGATCACTAAAGAATAGAATTATGGACTTTTCAAAGATTCCATTTTTCTGTAATGTGTGCATATATTCAAGGATCTTGGCATCCATGGAAGAGGGCAGGGCAAAGTCGTTGTGGCTAAAGGAGTTCGTCCAGAACATGCCAAAGGTGGACTGATTTTTGTGCACCCTAGTAAACTGTATGGCATAATCGTAAATGTACTCCGCATAATGTCGACGCCCCACGCAGTAGGGTATTTTGGAAATCAATACTTTTTTGAGCTCCTTCTCGACGGCCAGCATGAGAGGGCGTGGATAGTAATCTGTTGGCGGTTTGACGAATCCCTTCTTGTGATAGTTAAATGTAGAAAATTGACCCCAATCTTCTGCATAGGCTGTGATATATCCCAGCTGCCTGTACGTTTGCCAGAGTAATGGGCAAGCATCCAAGCCAGCCACAAATGTTGGCCGGCAGACAGACATTGCTCTTGTGTTGTTGAATCCTGTGAGCAGTGCCAGTAAATTGGGAAATGTGTTATCTCCCATCTGAAAAGAACCGAATGGCATTTCTCATTGTTAAAGTGTGGGCTGTTTTATCAATTGAAACACACCTTGTTGTAGCCCTGCAGCTCGTACCAGTTCTCTTCTCTGAGATACTTGTACATCAACGGCATGGTCCGCTGGAAGTTCATTCGCGACATGGAGTCAATGCCCCAGAGCAGGACACTGGGTCTACCCCCAGGGGATTCAGCTACAATTGAATTATTCAAAGTTGTGCGATTGCCCACATGTCTCGCTGGTTGCACAAAGCCAAAGGCATCCTGTTGCAACAGCTTTTTGTCCTTCAAGCGACGGCATTCGGTGATGATCGCATCTACGTGTTGTGGCACGACGAAATTCTGGGGAAAATAAGTGCATGGCAGCAATCTATAATGCCATTCATAAATATGTTGCTTTAATTAAAGGCTATTGCGGCACCTACTTGAACTCGTTGTCCGCCTCGGCACCATTTCCGTTGCGCAGAATCGCCTTATAGCAACATTTGATTTTTGGTTCATTCATGTGCAGCTTGTAGCGTTGATTGCCGTCATCATAGACTACAGATATTAGATCCTTGCTCGGGTCGCAAGTGTAATACGTTGTCTTTTTAAATATCCTAAGCGCATTCTTGGCGAAGGGATTCAGAGCGGGCATGCGACATTGCGAGGTGTACACAAAATAGTTTTCCAATATGTTTGGGCCTATGTGTGTGAATGCAGGTCACAAAATCTGTTTTGATTTCAACACGGTAAATAATTACCCAAAGTTTCGTTTCGCCGTGTAGGTGGTATTAACTGTGCTCGAGTCGATGTATAAATATTATCGTCTGGACTGGACCCAGTTTGTTCAGTGGAAGCGTCATACTGATCGTAAGTTGAGCCCGTACAGTCTGGCGGAATATAGCCCTGAGATGGGATAATTTTAACGCAGGTGGACCAACTATAGCAGACAATTAGCAGAAAGATGCCACATAAAGCGCTGATTTTTAGAAACTTATGCACGATTCTCCCGCCATGCGGCCATGCCGTTTCCGCTTGAATAAGCTGATACTTTATGTTTGCCATTTCATATGCATGCATATATCACAAATAGTGCGTGAGTGTACCACACCAGTTATACTCTCATAGTTGTGAGGTCCGATCGCGAAGCCTTCGTAACTGAAACTGTGCCATTGTAATCTACACTCAACGCTCTAAGAGCTATATTTTAACTTCGGATTCAAATATTTATCACATCCCGTTCTTATAAAATTAAGTGTGTATGAGTTTGTTTATCTGAATAGACGTGTATACAAGCTCATAATAATAATTTGTGAGATAACCGTACTATTTAATATTTTTGTATGTATGCTAAATTAAATAAATAATATATTATTGTTGCAGTAATTGATTTGAAGGAGTAGTTACTATGCTGGTGCATTCTTTGAGAAGAATCACAATCACAATGTCGCATGAGGGCTCGGCATAGTTAACAAGAACATGATAACATAATATAAGACAAAAAATTACAAGTGCCGAGCAATGAGCTCTGATTAAAATACATTTAGTTGTTATTCGGTTTTGTATTTTAGTTTTATTTCAATAATTTAAGTTATTTAAAAATGTACATATACAATAATATACGTATACTTTTTATAACACAAGTATACACAAAACTTCATAAATAATAAAAAATGTTCATGAAACGCATTACAAATACCACGCACATATTTGAATATGCTTCTTAAATCGTACGCAGATTGCAATTGGCCACAAAAATGTGAACGACCAGTTGAATCCAGTAAAAAATGCGCGCACATTCAAAAAAACTTACGAACATTTCAGTTTTAGCTATAGCATAATACATATGTAATATGTTTTTTGTAATATTATTTCATACATTGACGTTTACACTTATTGTTCTCTTGACCTTTTATCTAGTGTTAATCTGTATTCTGTTTTTCCTGGTTTTTTAGCTACATTCATTTCAATTCTACTGTGGATGAGTTATTATCAAGTTTATGTTTTTTTGTTTTGCTTGGTTTTCTTTTCTATTTTTTTGTTTGTTGGTAGGTTGGATTGGCTTTGCTCAACACAAATTCAATGTTTAATACATTAGATGCCACACCATGGTGTGAGCATTTGCTCATAACAAATTCTAATACATATCATAATAATTTCATCAACGATTGTTTCTTTTCTTTTAATGTATACGCAATCCGCAATACATACTTTAACTGTATTATCTTGGTAACTTAATATTCTCAATGCACGCTCCGCACACATCCAGTTGCACTTCACCTAATTTGACCACTTATGAGTGAAAGATTTCCACATAGTTCGCTGGATACAAGCCCACACGCCCGTTCATGCGACCCTTGCACCACCCTTGCTCGTCCTCATCCTCCAGTTTCTCAAAAACCTCACCTGGTACAGCAGAGAAAAATAAAGATTAGAAGAGAGAATGACAGTTGCCATATCGGTAGGTTTTATACCTTGCTTGAATGTGAGCTCGTCGCTTTCAGCGCCGTCATAGTCGTATAAGGCCTTGACTGGCACACCCGGCTCCCCGTTGTCGACCAGCACGTTGTCGGCCTCGTCCCACTCCTCCTCCTCGTCGAATGGGTTTGCATCGACTTTGCCGTTGCCATTGCTGTGTACATGCAAATTGAAATCAATTAGTTCAATGAAAATGAGCGACAAAACCAAATAGCAGCAACAACGGTGACCACTCGAGTGTAATCCAAAACAATTCGGATTCAGAAACTGTTTCCAACTTACGTTACGCTCGGATTGCGATTTGTTGCCGCCGCCGCTGACGCTGCCGTCGCTGCAGCCGCTGTTGCTGTCGCAGCGCCGACCGCCGATGTTGTCGACACTGTTGATTTAGTTTCGACTGATGTGGCAGAGGTTTGATTTAATGCTTGTTCCTGCTGGCTGCTCTTGCCGCTCGCTTTACTGTTGACGCTCGCGTTCTTCTTTAGACTATTTGTTGTTGGGTATTCCTGTGCGGTAAACACAATTAATAAGGCAATTAAATGTTTAATTAGAGCCCGGCCGACTTACGTGCACATCCTCGGCAACGGGTCGCTGATTAATGAGCGTTATGGCCGCGGCAGGCAGCGCCTCTTTCGATTTGTTTCCCTTGGCTATGTCACGGAACTCCTCCGTGTATTCCTGCAATGGCAACGTGGTTTTAAATGACTTTCTTAAAAATACGGAGTAAGATTTACCACAAATGCTGGCCAATTCATGGCCATATTGATGCCATGATTATTTGACCACCATTTCAAGTCCTTTTGTTGGTCCGCATTGTTAATTGTATGATAGAACTCCTCATAAATTTGGGGCAGGCTGCAATTAAACAGGAGGTTAATATTTAAGATTTGATTTGTGAGCAGGCAAAAATAAATTGAGCTCACTTTTGCACTTTGGTCGGATCGAGACACTCGTGCACATTGAATAGCACTTCTTTGAAGAACTGCAGTCGTGTCTTTTCCATGGTTTGGCACTTCTCAAATACGGATGTCATATCCTCAATGTAAACGGAATTATATTTGGTTATTTCGCCAATGGCCTGTTCATACTTCTCGCGGCACTTTTGCACTTGATCTTTGGTCTTTTGCACGCGATCGTGCATCTTCTTCACCTGCAATATAATACGTTGTTAAACAAAGCCATACAACTGTCTATCTAACTAAAGGTTATATTATATAACTAACCTGATCCGGTGACAGCGAGCTGTCGGCATTAGCGTTTCGCTCTTGATTGGTGGCGCTGCGTTCCGTTTTGCATGCTGAATGATAATCGGCTTTGGCCTTCTCCACTTTGGCCAATAGTTTGGCCCAAGGCTTCTGTGCTTTCTTGAACAGATCATCCATGTCTTTGCGTTCCTTGATCTGCATGAGCGTGTGATGGTAGTTATCCTTTTGCCAGGTCTTAATCTGAGTGTTGACATCATTGCACAGATTATCCTTGATCTTCATATGTACATCCGACAAACGTTCCGATTCGGTTAACACGCCCTTCCAAGCAGCTTCTGTGGTGCCATATTCGGGCCCTGCAATCGAATCAAACAAATGATTAATTAATTGTTTATCAACACTGGTCACATCATTTAACGGTAATTATGTGTCATTATTAAAAGATTTTAAGGTAGTTGTCTGCTCTTTAGCTGATGTCATCGACGCTTGACGGGCCTTTTTATCTAATCAGTTCGAAGTCTATTTGGATTGTGTGTGTGTTTCTGTGTGTGTGGACTGAGTGTGTGCGTGTGTGAGGCACATTTTTGGCATGTTTATGGCGTGCTAACAAAAAATGAAAAACCGTAATAAAGTTTATATGATGCCCACTTAATAATTGCAAATTGGGAATGCACGAAACTCGTTTGACCATTTTGACTAACGGCCACTCAACTATTCTCAATTGGCACCCCACACACACACACTACACACACACACACACACACACATATATTACACATATGTGTACATCATACAAATTGAGGCGCTTAGCACAGAAATAAACACGTTCTATTTTCTCATCGCATTGATTTTTGAAACCATTTCGAGCGACGCTTTGGTGCGGGTTTACTATGCTACTCTTTCAATTGGTTGAGTGGGCGGGGCGGGGATTGGGGAGAGGTGCTGATAACTCTGGCTAGACGCAACTAGGCAAATTCGGTATGAAAATGTCGCGCGCTCGTAGAAGCCGCTTTTACATGTATATTACCCCGTCCGCAATTGCTGTGTTCCGTCGTGCTCACTGTGAAAGTGGGCAGAGAGCAAAGGCGGCGTCTGCGGTGGGCATAACAGCAACAACAACAGCAACAACAACAACAACAACAAAAAATAACAGCAATAGCAAAAGCGGTTACCAACTTTGCGCGCAGTGTACTCGATTTCATTTCACAAAAGTCAACATGCACACTGGGACACAAAGTTTAACGAATGAACATGGCAAAAATCGGTGCAGTGACATTTGCTTTTTACGGAAATTCGGCATTCCACGCTTAAAGAAAAAGCTTAACTGGTTATCATATTGATTAGGGACATATTTGAGACCAAAAGCTAAGATAGGAGTTATTGACATGCACTATGAATGTAAATTAATATTCATAAATAGATTAGTTTTGAATGGCAGGCTCTAAGCTGAAATTCCATTGCATAGAAAGGTAGCTGGTTCACAAAACTGCACTTTTACCATGAGTCATACATTTGATATGGGAAAAATGTGTGACAAGCCAAGGTAAGAACCTAAAACCAGAACCTAATTTCGTGGCTGTGAGAACCCCGATTCACGTAACTAACCTGAGTACGAGTCATTAATGTAACCCTTTATTTTTATATTATCATTTGCGAACTAACAGAATCAAATGATTATTTTACATAGAAGTACAGCGAAATAAATGGAATATTTTGTAAGCTTCTGTAAGACCATCCCCCACTTTAGAACTTATCTGAAATATTTTTCATGCTATTTGGCACCAGAGTGCGAAGCTGCCGATGACAACAGGTAAAAGACGGTGCAAAAAAGGGCAACAAAAAAGCCCATTAATAGCTTAAGCCACTTATCGCACAACAACAACAAAGCTCAGTATATAATGTACACAAAATGTGGCAAATAAGAAGAACAGAAGTCTGTCAGCCCACTGAGAAGTGACGCTGGCAACGGGTC